TTTCGTACAACACTCATCAGGAATCGTCGTTGTACTAAAGGACACTGAAACAAAAATTGAACTATTATAGAAAATCTAAGTTAGAGAAATAACACTAAGAGCAACAGCAGTGAAATTTACAAGTGTGAATTTTAACAATCAACGCGAGAAATGAACAAAGGAGAAAGGAAGGAAGGACAACGTGATAACACATAACAGCAGTACATTACACCTAGAACATTAACGGCCAAGCTTGGCCGCACTATACGCGACACGTTACTTGAACAATTTCAACCTTATTATACTATCTTTTTGTACACACAAATTAGGCTTATGCAGACGCTGATAGATAGCTTCCAACACTTTTAACTGCAGTCCATAACCATGACGACCACGGCACCATACAGTGAACGAAGAGTCGGAATACGAATTGCAACAATCAGGACTAGCTAGCAGATGATTGTACACTAAAGACTTGCTACCACGAAACCTACGCACATTACTAACACTCTCACCGGCACTCTCACCATCACTCCCATCACTGCTCTCCGACTCACTGCTCCCTCCGCCGTCCGTTCCATCCTCCGCTGCCTCTGTACTCTCTCTGTCTCGTCCATCCCGCCTGACCGGGTCCTTTGAACTCAACTCGGCCGTCACCCTGCTGTCACGTCCCTCCTTTCGCCCTTGTCCGCTGAGTGCGTACCTTCTGTTGTAGTTGGCTGTTGATCATCTTGGTCTTTCAATTATGGGCTTGGATGGTGGATTAGTTGTGGTTGCTGTACATTGCGTTGTTGGTGTTGGTGTGGGAGCTACTGATATGCAAGGTGGGTCTTTTTGAGTCGGCATTTGTAGTGTTAATGACGCTGTCAGTGTTGCTCGCGGTCTGCCATTGGCAAGCTCCACCGCCGCAAGAACTGATGGCGGAGGATCAGGAGGAGGCAGTGGGACCGGGACCGCAAGTGGAACCGCCTCAGCCAAAGCCGCCGGGGGCACTGACGAAGGAACCACCGACGGCCAGAGCAAAGGCGGCGACACAAGCCGACCCAATGAGCCACCACACCCATTCCCCTCCACCACCGCCACCAGCGACGGCGGAGCAAGCACAGTCTGTGAGCCAGGATCCGCGGGTTGTGTAGGCAACGGCTGTGTGGTTTATGGTTGTTTTCTAGGACCACAAACACACAGCTGGCCACATACAGCTGGCCATGATATTCAAATAGGGCTTTCAAACGCAAGATCATAACGTGAAGCAACTTGGAAAAATGAGTATGAATGCGAAGTGTACGGGGAATGCAAGTAGGCCGATAGTGCGGGTTCGAATCCCAGGTAATGCTTGAAAAAGAATAGGATAATTGAAAAAAATATAACATCCCTTTTCTTTTTTTGCCGTCATCAAGACGGTAGACGGTGTCGTATTACCCTCGACCGTACCTGTCCCGTACCTGTCCCGTACCTGTCCCGTACCTGTCCCGTACCTATCCAGTACCGTACAATCAAAGACGGCTGGCCACAATGCATATTCAAATAGGGCTTTCAAATACAAGATCATAACGTGAAGGAACTTGGAAGAATCAGTATGTATGCGAAGTGTATCGGGGGATGCATGCAGGGCGATAGTGCCGGCTCGAATCCGAGGTTATGTCTAAAACAAAAAGTTGAAACTTTAATATAAGAATTTATAACATCCGTATGCTTTTTTTGTCTAGGTCATCAAGGCAAAAAAGCATAGCGTAGGGGCCTGAGCTTCCAAGCTCTCTCGCTGATTGCGGTTATCAAACTTTTATTTATTTCGTATTTTGTTAATGGCAGTGGGTTGTGTTTTCAAAAATTTAGTACAGTTCCGAAATGCCAGGGGGTGCTACCTAGAACTACCGCGCGGCATCATATGACTCCACATACAATAGGCATCAATAAAAGGGCGAATTTGGCTTAGAACCACACGTGAATAACGTGAAGAGGAATACATTTGGGAGCAAGGAGATTGGGGACCATTAAGGTGGTGATTTGTACATATGGACATGCTAATATGCACATTTCACGTGTCGTTATGGTCAATATCGTAATCCCCAATCCTGCCGAAACAGACAAATTTGTTTGTACTAAGTTGAAAGTGAAAGTCATTCACTTTGTCATCTGCAGCATAGAATGATATGAAGTGCCAGGGCAATTAGAATATTCTAGGAACGTCCTTTGAGTTTAAGTTGGTCTGGCGGAAGCCATGCTCAGTAGGCGCAGTGTCGCTGCCGATAAAGCATTTCATTTGATTTTGAAAGTTATTGGGCAGGAGGTTGGGGATGAATGCGAGGAGAGTGCCTGGAGCATTGCGAGCAATTAGAAGTGACCGAACACAGAGACACAGTTATAATGCTCCAAGTGAAGATGAGTGAATACTAATTGCTCCGGCTTCTTGATCAGTCTGATACTGTACTCAGGTAGAATATGGACACTTTTCTGGTGCCGCAGTATTTCAAGATCAGCGCTGCAACTCGCCATGGTGATAATGTGGCTGACGTCATGTTACCAAGGAAAACATGGCGTTTCGCCATGTTCGCCGCACTCGAGCGCTCACCTTTTTTCACAATCTTGTTTTGAAAAATACTTCAAGTCTTTTGCAGCACTTTTGGAGGCCAGTCACATCGCGATCTGTACGAGTATCTTTATCATGGCCATTGTCTTGTGTCGTTTTGAGCTCCAATAGCTTTCTCTGATGAAGGATTCAAAATATATCATGACGTTCTCTTTTATCGTGGGCATGAAGCTCCCCACTCGCAGCGGAGATGACATCGGACAGAATAAATGTGTCCAGTCCCGAGCAGGAGTTCTGCTGACAAAAGTGATTAGCTCCTCGCGACCTGGGGCATGTGAGGACTACAGTTCTAGTTGGGCAATACCCCACGGACACATCTAGCTGGAAGCGCAGAGTCGATTGAGAAAAATGACCAAGATCATAAAGAAGGCTTGTTTGCTTCCACAAAATGTTTTAGTAGCCGAGTCCACGCACTGAAAACTGCACTTGCATTGTTCCTGTCCAGTCGACTAGTCATACAGTACATCAGTGCATGCAGTACAGAGCGCACTTGCAAGTCACAACGACACGAGCACAGTCGTGTGTACAGACTCAGTTCACAGTTGTGACCAGCGATCGCGCGTGGGAGTCAAGTACCCTACTCAAGTGCGCATGCTCGGCTCGCTGCATGCACTGTCTGTAGATCTACAGCAGATTGCTGGTGCATGCGTGTGATGCACTACATGTACCAGCGCAGTTATTTTATGTGTAAGAGACAATGTCGGCTATTTTGAACACGGAGCGTGGGGAATGTCTTTGGCGAATGAGAGCTGTTGCATTGGCTAGCTGTACATCCCAGCAAGCGGGAATGTGCTGGATATCGATACTAAACACCCGTTCATCGCGGTGGTTAGACTGAACAGACCCCGAGGTACGACAGCTTCGTACACTAAATGTGTACAGTGCGTATGGTGAAACAAGTCGACACTGGTTTCCAGCGAAATGTTGTTATCTATGTACAATATCCACCAATATCCTTTATCTAGGGCCCAAAGGCTATCCAGTTCACCAGGATTTGTGGCCTTACTATTTTTCGTTTTCTCCGCGTTTTGGGTTGAAATCTGAACATAAAAAGTAGCACTGATGACGTCATTCAGCTCATAATTTAAATTTGATATTGGAAATCGATGACAACTAACCCAATGTATCACCAAAGAAAATTTTGTTGAAAAATATTAATGTATGCCAAAGTTATTACCAATACAAGTTTTGTACACACATGATCACCTTATTATACCTGAGTACCGGAGTCGAGGGAGGAAGCGGATAATGGTGGTGATAAAGCTATGGAGCCATACACATAACAGAGCATCAATGTCCAAAACTCGGGCAGGATTTCCTTAATGAAGCCGGGTTCTCTGGCAAAGTTGGTAGATAGTGGAAAATGTGTTGCACCAAGCAAGCGCGAACGCGCGCAACCGGTTGTTGCTTCGAAGTATGCAGGCTTTTCCGAGATACTCACAATTTTGAAGATGGGGCAGATGCATTATTTGCATTTATTGACCAGAATATGATCCATGTCATGATCAAGGGCACAAGGTAGAAGGGAAAACAAAAAAAATTGGAGAGGACTCTACTTTGAGTGAAGGCAATATCATGACATTAGTTTCGCAAATTTACGCAAGAGGCGTCCTCTGTACCCGCAATAGTCTGCCGACGGCCCTTCGGCTGAATAGGAAAGGACGCCATATAATCAAGTAAAATCCCTAAAAATAGTTTCCAGGAACTACTCTGCTACTTGAGGTTTGATCACGAAGATTGTCTCCGGACACGTCGTCGAACGGAAATTATTCGTTTGCTATGAGTCGCGACACAATTTTCTCCTTTCGCTCGTAAATGTATTTATCACAGCAGTCAAAGAAGGACCAACCTGGCTGAGAAAAATCCAGCACGTTGGCCCAGCAAGAGCCATTTCTGTGGTAATGGACTGAGATGTAGAGTTTGCAGGATGAGAATGGCAAGCAAATGCTCTTCTATTTTTCCGTAAACCGACGAGAGGTCGCCCTTTCGCTGCGGCCAATACCAGCTGCTGGTCTCCAAGATAGTTAACATGTTATTGGTTCTTCCTTTTAAAAGGTGCCTTTTATCCCAAGGACTTCTGTTTATACACATATTGACGATAATATTTCCAAGCAGGTATGTTTAAGTCCAGTGGAGTCATATGATGCCTCCGTTACTTCTTGGGTAGTTGATATTTTGGTAGTTCTAGGGTTAAATATTGGCCTCCAAGGGCTAAAACACATCTTTGACACATTAAAATGTCAGCCTATACTGTTGCTGCCTGTCTACACTGTCACACTGAACCTTGCAAAACTAAATTACTGCCGCAACAAATTTAACACCAAAAATTCCCAGGCCAAAAATAGGGGAGAATAAAAATGCGCCGAATATTTGTTGATTTACAGTATACTCACGTACACATTTCCTCACGAAATCAGTGTTGTTCTTAGCTTACCTGTCGTCGAGGTGTCTTCACATCACAGCCAAATGGACAACAGGAGTATCCATACTGACATTCTTCCTCGTGTTTCTGCAGTAAATCAATATCATGATTCACACACACTAGCTGAACTTATCCCTGTCCATAAAGTGATCAAATCCTGAAAGGGCTGGCATTCATTACATGTAAGGTGGAACAAAATTGTATTGTAACTCCGAGTTTCACGCTTGCACGATCATCAGGTAACAAACACGTGTTATCTAACACGGAATGGGGTTTTGAATGAATGCCTGATGATCGCACAAACAAGAAAGGAACATGGAGTTTGAATAAAATGTTCTGCCACCATGTTTGTCATTCTCCACACATACATGTACATATACATATAGCTGTACACACATCTTTACTCAGATATTTACTCAATACCTACCTAGCATAATCACCAGTCTAAACCTATGCACCATCAATCATCATCACTGGTCTTAGCAGGAACCGGAGGTTTTTCCTCTGGTGAGAAGGCAGAATTGCCTGTTCTCTAAACGAATTCAAATAAAAGAAAAAACAAACAAACTTGTACTTACTAACACTGAAAAGAAGCTTACCACATAATCTCTGAGGCTACCACTCCATTCACATAGCCCCGAATCACACTTGACCGTTTGCTTTTCCAGCTCATTTGCCAAGTCTTTCTCATCCACCAGCTGGAAAAGCAAAAACAGGAAATGAGTCATTAGGACAGCAAGTCATGTGATTGTTAACATGTATACATCCAATCAAAGCGATGGAGAGGGAGAGTGCAGCATCTGTGGTTAGTTGAATCAGGTCCACTGCTCTAACCATGGCTATCTGTCTGAATACAGTATCTATGGTTAGTTGAATCAGGTCCACTGCTCTAACCATGGCTATCTGTCTGAATACAGTATCTATGGTTAGTTGAATCAGGTCCACTGCTCTAACCATGGCTATCTGTCTGAATACAGTATCTATGGTTAGTTGAATCAGGTCCACTGCTCTAACCATGGCTATCTGTCTGAATACAGTATCTATGGTTAGTTGAATCAGGTCCACTGCTCTAACCATGGCTATCTGTCTGAATACAGTATTATACCTGCCATGAGTGAGTTTGATATTCAAATTGTCAAATACTAGGACTTGACAATCATTGCCTCTACTTTCTCGCTCCACATATACTGGCACACACACACACACAGACATAGACAGCAATAGCGACACTACACAAAGTGAAGGGTAGTTGGCTGCAGCCAGATGTGACTGATAAGGGTAGTTGGCTTCAGCCGGATGTGACTGATAAGGGTAGTTGGCTGCAGCCAGATGTGACTGATAAGGGTAGTTGGCCACAGCCAGATGTGAACCGAATAACGAGTGAGGTATGGAAGCAAGGACTGAGAACAGAGTGTCTCACATAGAATACGCGTGACAGTGAATAGCAGAAATCGGCCATGATGCAGAATCACTTGGGACCGTCAGACTAATTTTTCTGGACCGAGCCAGCCAGGTGAAAAAAAACCTTGCGCCGACGGACGCAGTTGTGAGGGAAGAAATCGGGTGTATATCCCCAATGGTGATTAGGCATGATGTAGACATGGCAAGTACATCACGGCAAAATATGATAAAAAAGCAATGGTTATATGCACAGAAATGAAGGGTGGGAGGCCAGGGACACTGGTGAGACTGAAAACTGACTGAAGAAGTCAGAAAAAGAAGCGACAATGAAGAACACACCAGATGCCATATTTGCAACTGAAAAGATTTCGCGAGAAATCATTTCTCGCCTATCTCGCTGCGCTCGGCCGGTGAGAAATACAACATCCATTCTACTCGCTATTCCACTCTCTATTCTACTCTCTATTCTACTCTCTATTCTACTCTCTATTCCACTCTCTATTCCACTCTCTATTCCACTCTCTATTCTACTCTCTATTCCACTCTCTATTCTACTCTCTATTCCACTCTCTATTCTACTCTCTATTCTACTCTCTATTCTACTCTCTATTCCACTCTCTATTCCACTCTCTATTCTACTCTCTATTCCACTCTCTATTCTACTCTCTATTCTACTCTCTATTCTACTCTCTGTTCTACTCTGGTTTGGTTTGGTTTGGTTTTTATTATTTCAGTTCGTTGCCTCAACAGTACAAAGTGCAAATATCAAGAGGGACGAACGAAAAGAGAAAATAAAACAGAGCAGAGAGGAAGATGCAACTGAAAGGAAAGAAAAACGGAGAGAAACGGAGAAGGAATGTGGACTGGGCAGATTCATGAACCATTACTAGAGAGAAACGGAGAAGGAATGCGGGCTGGGCGGATTCATGAACCATTACTAGAGGAGGGCAATGCATGAACAGAAGGGGCAAGTCCGTCGATATTCATGTTTTAAAAAATTCCAAGCCTTATTTTATTGGTGAAATACATTTTCAAAAAGGAGGGGATATGGGGATATAGTCAATTTGTTGTCATTTAGAGCGTGCAAAAGTTCTGTAGAAAATGATATAATGTCCTCACTTCCTTTCAAGTGAGCAGGGAGGGCATTCCACATAAGGGATGCTCTGGAGGAAAAGGAATTGTACCCTACCACAGATTTATACAAGCAAATTGACAAATTGTTTGTTGTAGTTCCACGAGTTGACCGCTTAGAGGTGGGCAAAGGGAAAAGACTGCGTAAGCATGATGCACGCTGAACAATATGACAAATAAACATAAACGTAAGAAATTGATAAATGTATCGATATTCAAGGTGTTTTATTTGAAGAGAAGCAAGAAGGGGTGGTACAACAGCATGATATGAAGCACCGCAGGTAACTCGTACAGCTCTACGGAACAAGGTAAACAATCTCTCCCTGGACTGTGCTGATAGGTGAGATGGGTAAACAGGGAAACAATACTCAAAGTCGGGCTGAATCACACTAAGCAGGTACTGGCGACGGGCAAACGCTGCCATTTGGCAGAAGGTGCGTCGCAACGCGCCTATCTTGCGTGACACCTTGCTGGTGAGGTGATCTACGTGTGGAACAAATGAGAGCTTGTTATCGATAAGGATACCAAGGCAGCGAATTACACTCACTTCTCTTAAGGTAGTGCCGCCCAGCTCAACAAGAACGGGTCTTTGTACGTCAGGAGCATTCTTCGGCAAGATCCTCATGACCACGGTTTTGTCAACATTAACGCTCATGCCCAGTGATCTTAGTTCATTGTGTAGCTTAGCGAGAGCCGAGGACACGACATCGGCGCATACTATTGGATCTCGTGAGGAAGCGTACAAAGTCTTGTCATCGGCAAACATGAGGAGCTTTGCACCGTTCCCTGCAGCCAGGTCAGGTAAGAGTCGCACATATAGGTTAAAAAGGGTGGGACCCAAGATTGTTCCCTGCGGAACCCCTCGGGTTACAGGGAGAAGAGATGATGTTCCAGAGGCTATACATACACGCTGGTACCGGCCGTTCAGGTAGGAAGCGAACCATTTCAGGGCAGAACTATGAATGCCTAAGCTGTGCAAAGTAAAGATAAGTTCCTGGTGCACAACTCGATCAAAGGCCTTGCTTAAGTCAATAAATGCTACAACGGTTGTATGGCCCACATCTCTAGCCAACGTCCAGTTATTCACAGCCAAGGTCATGACCTGCACTGTTGATCGCTGGGGCCGGAAGCAAAATTGATGATCGTGTAGACAAGTATACACTCTATTCTGCTCTCTATTCTCCTCTCTATTTCCTCTCTATTCTACTCTCTATTCTACTCTATACGTAGTATATATCGGGCGGGTTCTGTGGTGGGTACATGTTTTGCCTGAAGAAATGGGGTACTATTGATAGTACCCCATTTTAGGGGTAAAAACCGGGCACCCAGTTTTTGCGTAAAAATGATTTTTCGGGTGTTGGAGGTGGTTGAGGGTATGACATCATGATTGTATCCCAATGGTTTTATTTGATCATTACCCCGGATGGGAGTGGGTATAAAAAGTAGATAGAATGCTGGATATGGGGCCGTTGGGAGGGCCCGAATATACTTGCGCATATTTTTGCATATTTTGGTCCTTTTGACACAAGGTCGCATAAAGTAGCAAATCTAGCATATTGTACCAAATGTAGCATATTTTGCTACAAGGAGCAAAGAATTCGCGTAATTATAGGGCAGATTGCGGAAATGGACATGGAAACTTACCACGGCACGCTCGGTCAGGGAACACTTCCAAACTTAGGCCGGAAGGAAAAATTCTCATCCAAACACGGGGCGAAAATTTGACCCGAGAAGAGTGTGTCCGCGACCCAAGGTCGCATAAAGTAGTAAATCTAGCATTTTGCTCCAAATGTAGCATATCTTGCTATCATCGCATCATTATCACTGATATCAGTTCATATTTCGAGCATATTTCGAGCATATTTTTCTGTTTTTGTGTGATTTCGAAGAATATTTTGAAGCAAGTGGCCAATATGCGAAAAGCATAATATGCGAAATTTTTGAGCATATTTGGCCTCTCCCTTTGGGGGTCATAATGAACATGTTGGTGTTTTTTTCCGTTACCCACCTCACCCCTCCTCCCGTTCCACCTCCCCATGCAATTTTTCGAAAATGGGCATGCTCACACTTGTCATAAAGGTCAATTCTTGATAGATACGATACATATTACAAAGAATAATCATAATTATTATTATTATTTTCACTAGTTTGAGGGAAAGAGACAAACGGGAAAAGTCTGAAGAAATAATTGACTGTCACCACCAGGACTCGAACCAGTTTATTATTATTATTATTATTATTATTTCACCGTCCAATGGCAGAAGCCAATGCAAAGGAGGGGGCGTTAGCCAGCCATGGCAAGAGAAGAAAGAAAAAAAAAAGAAAGAATGAAGGAAAGAAGATGATAATCGGAAGAAAATAATGCATCAGCGGGGTGAAATGTATCACTATGTTGACCATGGTGGAGAGCGGCGAGATAAGCTAGCAAAAGAGGCGAGCGAGCCTACAACGTGGCATGACATTTAACATGGTCTATGAGCTGTCTAATATTGGATATTGTCTTCATTTCCATGGGCAGCTTGAGCCAATACGAGTATGCAGAGAAGATAGGAGATTTGGTAAACATAGTTGACAAAGCTCTGGGAAGTACTATGCCATTGCGAGTGTCCCGTACGAAAGTAAACCAATTATACTTGGTGAGATGTTCAGGGACAATGTTCAGTTTAATACGATGGACCAGAACGCATGACTGTCTCTGCGACAGGATAGAGATGGGGCTGGTGGAGGCCAAACTATATAGATCAGTAGAGGGGAAAAGAGTGGGTTTACGAAAAATAATTTTCAACACACGTTTATGATGTATTTCTAGTGTCTGTACAGCAGATTTACTAAGCAGGGAATGCCAAGCAGTGGCGCCGTACAGAAAGATAGGAAGGAGGTAGCATTTATAAAAGAGACGAATACATTCGGGAGACAAGTGGGAGCAGTGAGACATCAGGCAACCTACAGATTTGCTAACTTTGTTGCATACAAAATCTACGTGAGAATTCCAGGACAATTGCGAGTCAAATACAACACCCAAATGCCTGTGCGTATCTACAATAGTAATATTAATAGCCGAATCAAGTCCGGGAAGGGTAAATGTAGGAGGGTGGTCTATTTGAGGGAGAAAGACTATTTCTGTTTTCAAGATATTGGGTTTCAGACGCCATGACAACATCCATTC